AGCACAGAGGTTACCTGAAGGGCAGTGTATAGTTTCATTTCTTGTATTTTGTTCCTATCCACAACAGACGTCTTTAAGTAGCAGCAACTTCCTCGTTTCAAAGAACCGGGCGAGTGATTAACAGTATATCTGAACGGCCCAAGAGCAGCCACGGGTCTATCCTTCCTTGAAAGAGTTTTGCTTTGCTTTGGACATTTAGCAAACCAACCATGTATTTTTGCACTGATAAGAGACCATTCGCTCCGTCCAACTGCAACTGCTAGTTTGGAAAAGAAAAGCACCTTCCACCACAGCAAAAGTGTTAGCAATGATTTCTGGGACATGGCAACATAACCTCCATCCACAAGATCTGAAGGTGTGACAGGCTGCACTTCATGCAAGCTTCCCCGCACAGCTGGAAGAGAGAGCCAGCAGAGCGAGCGAACCTGGACCAGCCCGCGGACGTGGTAAGCAGCGCTTGGAGCGAGGCCGTTCATCCACTGGTTCGAAAGATGAGAAACACGGAGTTAAAACAGATCCGGACTTGCACTTCAGCTGCGGCAGAACACCCTCGGTTGCCAGAATCTGCTGTTCTCGCTCGTGCTACGGGGAGTTGGTCAGAGGAAGCTATTTCCCACCTCTTTCCCCATTTCTGGTCCAGGCAGGTCTTCCCCTTGTCATTGCTTTTACACCTTTCAAGGGTCTGCTTGTTATAACACATTTCACTGAATACCATCACATATGGCAAGTCTGAGGATCATCACAATAATGAAAGAAAGGTAGGCAGACAGACAGACGAGTGCCTTACGTTTTTCACTGAAAAAATCCTGGAGTCGGTGCCTTCTGCTAGCTAGTCTGCAGTCTTGGGCGCTCCCGAGTGCTTACCCCAGGCAGACCACCCCATGCCAGCGACTTGTGCTACCATCTGCCAGCTGAGCGAGGCACAAGCTGTTAACGCTCCTGGAAGCCTGGGCAGACCGCACACAACACATCAAAACCTGGATGTTGCAGCCAAGCAAAGACAAAACCTTTTGCTGCCTGGGTAAGTAACCGAGATCCTTTCTTGACTTGCCCAAAGCACGTACAGCACAAGTGCTAAGGAAATGCAGATAAGCGATCACGTTAGATCAGACCTGTGGCCCAACAAGTCCATTATCCTGTCTCTGGCTGCTCTTGTGCAAGTGCCACCCCTCCCTGCTGCCTCACGCAGCGCTACCTGGGGACAAAGATCACGTCTCGATTTCTGCCAGAAGCCTATTTACGCCACAAAGTTGGATTCCTCTGTGCGCGCTGTTGCCAACACCAAAACCAGCATCAAGAGGCTAGCTAGGCACCTGCCAGCAGCAGTCAGCTCCCAGCTGAAATGCAGAAGGTGGCATTTATTTCAACTATATTCTAAACGCTCCCTGTGTCCCTGGAGCGGAGAGAGGGAGGAGGCTGGGCAGCGCTCACCCAGGCCCCTCCACAGAAAATGCTCTTCAGTCTCACGTCACAATCCTTTTCCACACCTCTAACCATCTCCATAGCCTTTGCCATCTTCCCTGCGACTGCCCAGCCCAGAGACCGAACCTGAGCCACGCTAAAAACAAACGTGCGCCACGCGCGACCTTTCATCTTCCGAAATCCCCTCTCCGATACTCGCGCCACCCACTCCCACGTGGCAGCGTTCAACTTCACGAGCGCGCTCCCGACGCCCAAGTCTTTCTATTCGCAGAATCCTTCAGGTTCAGGAGCCTCCTCCCGCCACACAACGTACGTTACTGGGCACTTCCTCCACCTGGGTTTCCCCCGCTCTTGTGGTCACCGATTCTGGAACGGATACACAAGTATCTGTAGCTTCTCACAACCCCCCACTGTTTTCACACCGAAACAACCAAGTGCCAAACGTCACCCATTCGCACTCGCCCCCTGCTCGGCGAGTGCAGAAAACGACACCCGGCCCGGCGCAAAGGAACCTCCCCGATTCTCTCGTCTTCTCTGCAAACCTGCGCCCCCAGCTCTCCAACCCCACTGTGCAGAGGCGATGAACAGCAAACCCGGCGCTGCAACGAGACCTTGCTAAAGCTCTGCAAGTTATTACCCTGTAAAAATATAAAGTAAACTAACGAGAAGTCAGCCCGACTTTCCTTCATTTACTTGCGTCTTTGAAAAGTTCGGTAGTTGGCAATGGGTCTTCCAGGCCGTGCAAATTAGCATAGTTCTGTTTATTAAATGATCTGAAGGAGAAAGCAGACAGCAAACATTACACACGACAGTCACTGTTTGGAGAAGCTTTTGATCATTTTTATGTTGCAATTGCAAACCAAAGACGTATATATAGGAAACACATTGCATGTTAATGAGTTTAACAAAAAGATTCAACAAAACAAAAAAGTATTTAATTTAGGTAGGATTAAATAAAATTAGTTAAATGTCACAATTAAAAAAGTTTTGCTATACAAAACTTGACTACTAACAACATAAGACACCCGCTCTTTCAAGAAATCATCTCCAACTACTAATTCTTAGAACAAAGAGATTATAGAATAAATTATGTTTTCTAGGAAATAAAACTGATCACATGACGCTTTACAAAAGCAAATGGTGAGGGGATGCAGACAGTTAAAACAAAGCTCAAAATAAAGTGAAGAATATTTGCGGAAATAAAAAAAAATGACCGACGGGAAGGGCTCAATTCTCAGCCCTTGAGCAGGCAGAAATCACTGAAATGGAGCTCCTCTCCAAGGAGGATTGCAAGAAGAGGCGGCGAGACGGCCGCCTGAGGGTGCTGGAGGGGAGACTCTTACAGGTTGGCAAAACTAATCTGCAGTAGGTTTCCCTCTGCACAGCCACATCCCTCCCACCTTCTCCACTCCTCGCTCCAGAGACCTCTTGCCACACGTCCATACAGCCACCCCTTGGCCTCAAGCAGATTGCACTGGGTGTCGTGCAAGGTTGGCACTAGGAAGCTCCCCGCTCAGCGTGTACAAGCCCCTCAATAACGGCGTACAGAGCACTGAGCAGGGAAATGCTGGAGGAGCCCGTGCACCTCCTCGAGCACCGGAGACGTCTGTTGGAACAGGGTCACCAGACCGGCCAATGATCCCTAGATCCGAGCTGCTAGAGATTTACCCCCCGAACCAGGAGGCAGACGGGTGCCACGGACACGAGCTCCGGCGAGCCAGACAGCACTCTGCAGAGAGCAGAACTTGTGCTGAGCCGCGCGGAGCCGCATCTGTGACTTCCTGGGACCTGCAGCACCGCAGGCGGGTCAGAGACCAGCACGTGGAGTCTCACGTCCACGGCCACTCCGCCTCCCTCAGCTGCGGGGCTCCTGCTCCCATTTCATGCCCAGCTGAGAGGCTGAGCGTAAGCGAACCAGTGTCATGGCAAACGACTCCCATCACCTGCAACGTTCAGGGGAAACATGAATCATTTCTTCTTAAGAAGTTCAGCAGCCGATACATTTTGATGATCAGAGCTGCCTACCGACTACAGGAAAAAGTGAAGTAACTCCACTGTGGGTAAAAACCATGTAAAAATCACTGGTATTTAAACAAAGCATTAAATATAATAAATTACTAGACAGGAAGCTGGGGTCTTCCCCGCTGCTGGTTCTCGGACAACTGCTACTCTGCATCCGGACAAGGAGGAGAACGTACGCTTGTTCCTAAGGCCACTTCCATGATCCAGAAGAGCCCGTACAGAAACAAGGCGACCACTTTTGTGGTCAACTAACCTTAAAAGCAACCCAAACACACATTCGGACAAGCTTCTCTAGCAAAAGAGGTGCCTTGAACACAGCTGCAGAAGTCTCCATCCTCTCTCTCAAATGCAAATGAGAAGTGGCATTTTCTTTGTCACTAGACTTCCAGTTGGGAAGTAGCAATAAAAAGGCAGCTCTCACTGAGAGATACTAGGACAGAAACATCATAATTGAAGAACTCAAAAATAGCAATAGACATTTCTAGCAAGTCTCAAAGTGTATCTATGTCAATATATCATTTTAGTAAAGGCATTAGAACTAGTCACAGAAGTTCTCATTCAAACAGTGCCTGGAGCGGGCATGCCAGCCACAGCCAGCGTTACCCTGGCACCTGCCACGCACCACAACCACGGCTCGGAGGTCGAGTGCACACACGCTGGCTTAGTAATGTTCCCCCCAAGGCTTGGAAAGTTGCAGCCACCTTCTCAATACCACGTCTGGAGAGTCTGCAGGGCACAACCGAGGAGCCCCGATGCCACAACTGAGGCCAGAGGCAACCTAGAAATGCCTATTTTAGGTACAATTCTTAAGGTTTCCAAACATATCAGTTTGGGGCAGCAGAAGAGGTTAAACTTTGGGGTGTTTGGCTTGGCAGAAACGGTCCAGCCTTGAAGCTGCATTTTAGCACGTGTGTATCAATGACAAGTCAAGAGAGCGACCTGGTATTTAACTCGGACATCATGCTACCTCCAACCTCTGAAGAGAAGGAAAATTTAAAATTAATTAATTAATTAATTTACAACTAGGAAAGCACGGAGATGCTTTTAAGGTAAAGGCTGGGTAACTTCTAGCACCAAGGTTCTAGGAAAGTACATCCCCGAAGCAGAAAGCGGTCACCAGTGAAGCTCTCTCACCTGCTGCACACTGGGGTCTGTGCAGGAATGGGATAGTGTGCTTTGTACAGGAGGTATACAGTTGGTCTGAGCAAGAAAGGTGGCATTAGCACAATAATAATTAAAAAAACCACACAAAAACATTTGGAAATATTTGGCGTTTTGGACACGTGCCACATACAAAAAGCCATCCCCACGTCACGTCTCAGAGCACTCCACACAAGGAATCTCAAACCCCTTCTGTTGGCAGCAACCAGGCTGGTCCGACCTACTCCGAGCCCTCACAGGATCCACAATAACGCACTGGTTTAGGATTGGCAAAAAAAAAAAAAAGAAAGATTTAGTGCTCAAAACACATTTGATTTCACTGAAGAATTAGTGACTTGTGTCCCAAATAAATACACTTAAGGAACGAGGCTACTCACAAAGACACGCCCAGACCCTTCTATGCCAACTGTTCTCAGCTATCCTTTTATATTAAAAACCTAGGGGTTTTTTTCCTTTTTCTTTTTTAAATTAAGGACTAGTAATTAGCAGGCAGTATCCATCCCCTGCACCTGAACTCCAATTCCAGGTATAAACCTTTCCATCTGGCCTGCGGGAGATTGTTCAGGAGCTGTCGTTCGGCTGGCAGGTGAGCTCTGTAGAAAATACAGCACACGCTTTTCAGCCAGGTCAGGACATAGTAGCTGCAGGCAGTTTAAGGGAAGAGACTTTGAATCCTCCTTTGCCTAACTGAAATGCACACATCTGAAGAAAAGAGCGGCAATTCCTGCACGTGAAGTTCACCTGGATTCTCAAGTCTGGGGTCTCACTGTGCACGTTTCAGACAGACCAGATCCCCCTGGATTTTAGCAGTAGGGAATGATTTTGGAAGTGCAATAGTGGGGTGACGTCTGCCCAGTTTCAGTGTTCATGCTGACAATTAATTTTGCCCTCGGACTGCTCCAAAACATCGAGCATTTCCTCTACGATCGCCTGCAGGGCCCGGCCCAGCTGTTCCGCAGTATAGGGTTTTCCCAGCGGAGGCACGTGAACAAATGCAGACCTGCCCCGGCTCTGGTATAAGGACGTGTAGTAAGTAAAATCACAGAGGTATCTGAAATCAAGAAAAAAAAAAAAGAAGCTTATTTAGCGACAGATAACAGCTGGTGAGTAAGACAGGTCAGAGTAACGCGAGTCAGTGCAATAGCTGCTCTCGAATGGAGCATAACCAGCAGCTCCTGCTTCATTAGCATCGGTAAGCTGTTAAAGAACAGGGATGGATGATGAAGCTCCTCTTGTTCTGGCCTCTGTCACCGTCTCCACGGCAGCTGGCCAGGTCCCAGAGGCTTATGCAATTCCTAAAGCTGCTAGTCTAGATAAAGCAGCTTTTTCCCCAGAAAGCAAAATCATCGCGCTTGTAACTGCACAACCTGGAGTTTAATGCCAATCCCAGGCCTCAGGAAAACCAAAAAGGCACATCCAAAGGTGTTCATGGGGCCATCTGCTCCACAGTCTGTACTGCAATACAAGGGAGTGGGAGGTCAAACGCTCCCGGTGATGAAAGGCCTGAATCTCTCCTGCCCTGCGCTCCATGTAGCCGCATGTACCTGCGCGAAGTGGGGGTGCCAGTGTGAGCACCGCAGGCTGAGGCAGTGGGAACGTGGTCCCGGGAGGCACACGACTGCCGAACCCAAGCCTGAACTTTGCCCTGCAGGAAAGGAACACGCACGACAGCACGAGCTCGTTTCCCTCCGGTCACCACCCCGTACCTGCCGGCATCCTTGGATATAGTAACGGTAACGTCAAGCCCGAGCGTCGAGACTCTCTTGCACACCGCATCCATGTCAATGATGGAATCGATGCACTCTGGACCCCCTTCTACGCAGCACTGGGAGCCGGGGCAGAACCGGCAGTTGTCCAAGCCTTTGTAGCCTACATTATGTCCACATTTTTCCAGCGTTACGGTAGTAGCCATGCCCGAAACACCCACGTGAACTACCAACTGCAAGAGGAAGGAAGCGAGTTAGAGCTGCTGGCACAGGGAGTGGGGGGGGACAGCCCTGCCGTACGTGTCCAGGGGTGCGTGAGGGAGGAGACTCATTCAGACCCCTTCATGCAGGTCAGACGGGTGGTGGAGATGACTGACCGAACGTGCCAGGGACAGAACAGCCCAGGTGGCACGGGTGAGCGGCACGGTGCTCAGACTGCCCTCCTAGCATCAAGCGCTCCTACAGACCAGCACCCTGGTCTCTTCTTCCACCTCCTGGACCTCTGCTAGAAGGGCCGACCCAGGGTCGGATCAGCCCGAATTTGAACACGTGTTAGAAACTGGACTTGACGTCAGAACCGTGCGCTCCTGGCAGTACGGACAGCAGGCTTCGGTTCTCAGTTCCCCTTTTACTCACTCACTTGTGGACTGTGCTTCTTCCATAATGCAGGAATTAGTCTTTGTACAGTTTGGTATTCAACTGGGATTTCGTACACGTGCAGATCCACACCGTCTCCCAAACCCAGCTTCTCAAGCTCCTGAGAACAGAAGGCAGCAAAATACCAAAGCGATCAGATATGGACGCAGGAGAAGAGATTTAAAAAAATAAAAGATATAAAAGCCAGAGGCACTCTGTTGCAAGCATGCCTTTTTCTGGCACGCGCGGAAGGAGTCAGAGCAGCTCCCTGCTCCTAGGACAGACACAACCTGATCCCTTCACCGCAACTGTGCGATTTGGGACAGATGAGACCCAAAGGGGCAGTGGTCCTGCGCCGTCCGGCCAGCCGCCGCGGGCTGGAAGCAGCGCGCCAGGGCTCGGGCCGTGAAGAGAGGATCTCTCCCCAGGCGGGAGCGGGGAGGGGGCAGAGGGACAGAAGGGGAACAGGCAGGCTTCCTACCTCCTGGCATGCAAGAGAGACCACAGCCCTGCCTCCGGCTTGTAGCACCACGAGGCAGGGACTCTACAAGACGGACGCAGAGCTCCTCCTCCGGAGAACTGACGCAGCGATGGCGCGCTTACCCTCTCCATACGTTCCTGGCTTTTAATTTCATTTTGGCAGGATCAAAAACACAGTCCTAATGTCTAAAACAGAGAGAGCTACCTGCACCATCCAGCATATTTGTGCAGAATCCTGCAATTTAGCTCGTTTTCCGTCTGATCTTTATACCACGCCACGACTGGGTTTTTTTCTTTTTTACTTTACAATGTTGGCTAAAAATCATCTCCTCATTTTGGGCACTTGGACAGTGAATTTCAGCTGAATGGACATGCAATGTTAGCTTCAGAGTTTATTCGCACGTGCAAAATTGGAAGAGAAAGCGGCAGGAGCGTGACAGGGATAGCATCCCGAAACCCACGTGCGATTACTAGGGAGAACTCAGTTCAAAGAGAAGATAGTCAAGAAATGTCCCCCGCTGCACTGGAAACCAGGGTGTGATCCCCTGGATCCCTGCAGCCGGTTGCCCCAGAAACCAAACTGGTATCCCAGGGTGTCAAAACTAAACGCTAAGACGAGTGGGAAAGTGCAGCCAGGCTTTCTAGCAGGGCACAAGTCTCCGTGCTGCAGTGAGGAGGGAGAGGCCCTTTCTGCGCCGAAGGAAAAGTAAGAGGAGAGCGCTGCAGCCGCACCCCACCGCTCCAGGCAGGAAGGAAACGCAGCGATCCCCTGCGTCCGCCCCGGTTCCTGGAAGAGGTCTACCCAGGACGCGCTCCCAGCGACCGGACACAGAACAGAGCGTGCCGCGGCGAGTGCTGGCGTGCACCCACTTCCACTTCCACCTGCCTCCCGCGCCCCCGAAGCGTTCGGGCTCTCCGCACCGCATCACGACAGCCACCACCATCAGGGCCCAGCCTCTTATCTGACTACACCAGACAGAGCCATGCCTGGGCCTGGATGCACGGGATTTCTAACGAAGCCCTCGGCCTGAGCTTCCACTTGCTGTTGTTCAAAGACCTCAGAGCTCAGCTAGGGTCGCAGCACCTCGGTGAGAAGCAGCAAACTCCCCAACAGATACACGTGCACAGAGCACGCTAGGGGAGTTGAATGCAGGTTACTTACTGCCCGCAGTAACTGTAAACTCGTCACTATTCCCTTTCTGAGATGCCACCTGGGCCCAGCTGCGTTGTCACGGACGTTGCTAAATTTACCCCCGTGCCATCTGGGAAGAGCGCGGCAGGTAAAACGGGTTGCCCAGCTGCATAAACACGCCAACAAACTCTCCCCAGACCTGACGAAAGGCGTTTGTGCCCCAAAGCTTGCAAAGGACGATTTTTCCAACGATTTAGTTGGTCTAATCAAAGATACCACATTGACCCAAAGAACCTTAACACACCCGGGGCAATTTGGTTAAACCAGTGATTCTCAACCGGGGTGTGCGAGATCCTTCCACGGGTGCCACCCAGTGTCAGCACCGCTAGGTGTGCAAACACAGTTCACAAGATTAACCCAGAGATTTCAAACGGGAACCCACAGTCTTATAAACATCCCGACCTCTCACGGTCTGAGCTCTTTGCAATTCAAGACTTAGCCTTGAGCCTAAAAAGGTGGAGAAACCACTGCATTTCACGTGCGCCTCGGAGGGCTCGGCTGGCTTAATGGATTTTGGTTTGATACCAGTATTTTCAACAGTCAGGTTACCGTTCCGTGCTCGGAAGATGTAGGACTCCCGACGTTTCTTGGTTGGACTAGATAGAAAGGCTGCCACGAGCCCTGAGCTGTGCAAATGGCACTGGGCTCCAAGCAGGTGTGCTCCTCTCACAAGTCGCTGCTCGCGAGAGCTATGCGAGGCGCGCGGTGTGGAGGTATTTAGGAATCTGAGGGGCCGGGAGAGGCTGGAAGCCGAGTCCTTCTGCAGGTTCAGGGCCTGGCTCACAAACCAACACGGTCAAGAGATCTCCTAAGCCCCGGGGGTTATTTAGGTATTTATGAGCTGCAGAGATACGTTGCCGTGGATGGGACTTCAGCCATCCACCATGTATGGGCAGAAGTGAGCCCGGTGAAGCTGTGTCGACAGGGCTGGACAGAGTAAATAAATGCGACGGCTTCATGCAGCTCTGGGCACTACCCAAACCACGCGGCTCGTACATGCTGAGAGGGTGTTGAAGTAAGGACCCATCCGTGAATCCTGGCACGGACCGGCGGTTGTATTCTCGACTTCTACAGGAACCGTACATTTACTTAACCAGCCAGTAAATGAATCCTAAAGCAAGCCAGGTAAAATCAGCTTATTTAATGAGCTGGACAGCTGACAGTTCCTTAAAACCGGAATCTAAAACTTCTAGCTGAACTCACCGTGGCAGGGCCCAGCCCCTCTTCTTAAGAAAATGTGCGTCTCCTGGGCAGTAAAATAAAGGGACTGTGTGTACGGTGCAAATCTGCCCTGCCTTCTGCCTGCTTTTGAACAGTAAAGGCTTTATGTGCCACTGGAAACTGAAACGAGTCTAAATGCAAGACAGTGGCAGTCTCTGAGTTTCTTAAATTCATTTGAAGAACTGCCGTTTTGCTCTAGTCAAAACTTTCCCCTATAACATAAGGGTCTCATGCAAACAGAAATCAGACACCAAACCGTAACTACAGCTGCCGATCGGACCGGCTGAGCCTTCCTGAATGCTCCCAGCCAGGAAGGGGAAAAACACGTACGATTCCCGTGCTACTTGGCTCTGAAGCGCAAATGCGAAAACCTAAGACTCGTCACTTCAAGGAAGGGAACAATTGGCCGTGGTCCCCGGCTGCAGCCCAGCACGTGGAGACCGGGAACTGCGGGAAGAGGAACAGCACAATGATTTTGTTGTGACCTTCTTCCACACCCACCTAGTAACGTTATCATTGCACTGAATTCCTGATGCTTGCATTATGAAGCACTGACAGAAGTGCACCGGGCGCCTGCATCTGTCTCCGTGTGGTCAGCGAGTAAAGGAAGACCGGGACTGCCTCTGGCTAATGTCGCCGAAAGTTTCTCAACTCCCGCTTTGATGCTTCACCTTTGGCTACGGCCCGGCAGCGCAGCCAGCCAAAGGGTACCGTGTTAACAACCGCTTTGTGCAAGCACAGGCGCATCAGGGAGCTGAAGCCAACTGGCTGCGCTCACAACACTCCCCGCGGCTGCCGTCACGATCGCCTGCATGTTCTGCATGTTATTGCTTGCTTCTTGTCTCACGTCAGATCTGTTTTCAGGCAGCCGCAGCAGCTCCGCTGGTCCTAAAGCGCTCTCGGTATTATGAGCAGAGGTTTAGGGTTCTGCTCTACCATTGCCCGCATGCAGGACAGGACATATTTGAAAACCATAAGTGGCTTTATACAACTCTTTATACAACCAGAAGTGGCAAATGCCCCGTGCCCCCTAGTAAACACGTGAAGTGCGCAGGGATGGCTCTGCATATTTAAGAGGAGGCAGATAAACGTGGAAAAAACAAATCAAAGTATGCCAGGGATAGTTTCCTTTAAACCAGCTCAGCAACCTTTTAAGGCTGAGGGTTGGATTAACCTACTTGGGGTCAACGGCGTGCCAGCACGTGCTGGCATCCAGCTGCCACTGGCATGGGAAAGCACCTGCATCACCTCCGCCGGCACAAGGAAGGACACTGCCACCAAAGCCCCATGCCTGCGGGCTGGATCAAAGGGCTTCAAAAGGCTGCCAGAGCCCTGCTTTAAACATCTCAGAAAAGCCCTGAGCGTATCCGCTAGACCGCTGGCGAGAAGCCGCTCCTGAATTCACTGGGGAGGGGAGGGAAAGTCGATGCTTCAATCAAGCAAGCCAGAATAAAGTAGTGTCTCATCATTACAACATGTAGCAAAGATCTTCTCCAAATCCAGCACAACGTCATGGCCATGTTCCAGCTCGAGATGCTGCACGATTAGTTTTACCCACTCCTTTATAATGGAAATTGTTCACAGTTTAGCTGCCGAACGCAGCACATCCATTCCCCGGGTCTGCTCTGTAGTTGGTTTCCCAACAGGCGAGTCTGATCTTCTCCGCTCCCTTGCTCTTCCTCGGGGGTCCCCGGTTTGACGTACTCATCGTACCAGCAAGACTGAAGTCAGGAGTACTGCGACCATCCAGCCCAGCACAGGCCTGCCTCACCAGAAGCGAAGCCGCTTCCAGAGCCGTCAACCCTCGAGCATCCCGCGAGCTGTAGGGAGGGTCATGCCGCCGCGATCCGAAGCCTCTAAGGAAAAGGAATCGACTTCAGTGAGCTCGAGAGCCCGCGCGCTACATCCACTCCGAAGCCACGCCACAGACTGCAGTCGGGAAGCACTTTCCCAAAGCAGCTTAGGACCCCGAGCCACGCGCACTGCTGCCGGGACTGGAGTTAATGTTCGTGTTCATACCTCCAGCGAGGTAATTTGACTTAACCAGGTAAAAGGCCGGCGAAGGCCAGGCGAGCTCATCGCGCCCTGCATTGGGCTGTAACCTAACTGCTAACGCCCGCTGAAGCTACAAAGTGCCTGGAGCGAACTCTCGCCTGCTCCCCTCCCACCAGCGGAAACAAGGCCTCTGCGCTTTTGGAAACTTGCTTGCTGGCGTCCGAGTGCCAGGCCAGCAAAGCAGCGTCTAAGAACTTGGCCTTGCTTTCTTCTCCGCGGCAGAATGAGGGAGCAGATGTTTCTTTCTGAACTGGCCTTTGAAGACTCACTCGCACCTCAGCCCCCATTTGGAGAGTCAGGTTGGGAGCATGGATTATCATTTATTACCATGTACTTGCTTGGTCATCTCCTCTTCTTCTGGACGAGGCTTCAGCTGCACTTATCCTAGCTACAGTTTGCAATGGCAACAGCGCTTTGGGGTGTCGAGGCACAGGGTCAGCGCGTTGTTGGGATCGGGCCCTGTGCAAGGTGTCCCTAGCGGAGGGTCACAGGCCGCTGCCGAGCGTGCGGCTGCTTGCTTTCGCTGCAGTGTCAGCTGAACAACTGCTCCAGCTTCCAGCGATTTACAAAAAATAAAATAAAAATAACCCCGTCCTGACTTCCAAGACGAGCGCCCGTTCGAGGAGCTCTTTCCAGAGAAGACGACAAAGGCTTGGAAATGCAGGTGGGGAGCGCGGTCAGCGGAGCTTCAACCCCATCCAGAACCGCCCCGTACCCCTCCATGAGCCTCCCGCACAGATATCACAGCATGAAAACCCGGCACCCAGCTGGCTCCTTGGAAATGGGACTGAACGGTTCCCCACTGATTTATCTGGGCTTCCAACACGTCTGTGCAAATACCAAGGGGTGAAGCCAAGTTCAGTTCAGCTGTGTAGACCGGGGTGGGGGGGCAGCTTGTTTTCTGGCTCATATTTTAAAAGCCGCCAAGGGTGCTTGGGACCTCTGCAGGGGTCGAAGCCCAGGGGCCTTTCCAGGGAGCTGCCAAGGTCTGGTCCACGTGGAGATACTGGGTGAACAGGAGAGCAGCCTTGCTCTGCTCTGCCAGCTCCCACAAGGCACAAACCTCTCCAGGCACGTCAGCCCGAGCCGTTCTGGGGCGGCAAGACAAGGCACGACTCCTGGGGCAAGCTTCCCCGTCACGTTTTCCTCATCGTCCAACAGGCCGGCAAAATCCTCCCCGCGGAGATAAAAGGAGACGTGCCAAATCCTGGGAATTCCCAAGTTGGTTTCTCTGGCCGGCGGGGGTGGGGAAAGACCGCGGGACTAGAGAGGTAGCGAGCTGCGTTAGCCTGAAGTTTCTTATTTAAATCCATAAATAGCAAATCTTCCCCTCGACTTTAATCTAAATGTAAATGCTTAACACAACCCGTGTTTCCCTCCAGTTATCAGCGGGGCTGGTTGCTTTACTGGCATTGTGCTCGCGATGCGAACGCTTGTGCACACTTACGCACGCTAACAAGATTACGAACCGCCCCAGAAAAGACGAGTGGAGACTTTTATGGACCAGCAGGTCTGAGCAACAACAATGATAAATCACTCGCGATGGCTCCGAGGGCAAGGCTGATATTAAAGGCTTGCTGTATTGATTAGTGTCTGGAGCGCGCAGACATTCATTACTAGAGATGGATGCTAAGTGATGTTTCACATCTTCTTTATACAAATCTGCTTGCACAACTGTAGGCCTTCCACGCAGTAGGTCTGTGAAATAAATAGTGTGGAAACACGTAAATACGAGCCAGTCTTCCCAACGCTCCAGAGCATCGCATCTCCACTCCCGAAAACACAGGTGGGAAGGAAAAAACCCTTAAGAAGCGGGACTTCTGCCCTCGAGAGGCGCGCGGGCTCGTATCACCGCGTGGGGGTTCACGCGCCGGGTGGAGCGCTCCAGGCTGCGACTTTCAGCTGGGAGCGTTTAGCAGCCGACTACTCCGCTCCCTTCATCATTTACATTAAATGTTCTTTACAAATTCCCAGCTAACAATTTTTGTAACCAAACGCAGCGTGCGCACACTTCTATTCAATAATAAAAACGTCCTTTGGCCCCCAGACAACTTATTATCCGCAGCCCTGTGTACCTGACAGATAGAGAAAAACGAACACGTTTGACCGATTCCCCGACCCCTCAACAATGGGCTTCTTTGTGAGCCTTTAATATCCTTATCAGGTCTGTCTAGACACCCTGACAGCAATTGTCCCTAGTAATGTCAAAATGCACTCTGACCCTTCTTCTCATCCTCCAGCTCGGCTAGAAACATTTCAAGGGGACGAACGCAAGAGCCAATTAGCTTCACAGTCCACGGGGCACACCTGTGTCTGGCTGACCTGGACACCTCTGCACAGACAACAGACTCTTTGATGCGAGGGGTGAGCCAGAAGATTGAAGCAAGCAGGAAACTAGTTTCAACATTATTTCTTTCTCTCTCTCTCTTCCTTTCTTTTATTTTTCTAAAGGCCTGGATAAAACCTAGCTTTGACAGCTCACCCAAAGAACGCAGTTGAGAAAATTAAAAAAAAATAAGATACTTAAACAACCTAGTATATGTCCAGCTCTGTAAACAGGAGACAAAAGACCTCTATTTCATATAAAACCCATTATTTTAGGGGTGTCCGTAATAAGGACCTTTTTTTAAAAAAAGGTCATGCAATCAGAGCTGAACTTCTGTTCTTTTAAGGTGATGTATGTATGTATGTACGTATGTACGGTGTAGGGCACAGCTCCTAGCCTCCAGCCTTGTTTACAGAACCGGTCTCTCTCCTCATCTGCACAAAAGCAAAAAGCAGTGAACTTCACATTATTAGAAAGCCGCAGTGATTATTTAAGATAGACTCTATTTTACCAAATGCAAGTAATAATTTAGCTTTCAGGAGCAAATAAGTCATTGCAGTTTGAAAGAAACACCACCCCCCCCCCCCCAAAAAAAACAAAACAAAAACCCCAAACCATATTTACGTCCTACATGCAAACAAAAAGCCACACAAAACCAAAAGAACTGGAGAGAAAAGCAGAGAATTTTATCCTCGGGATGCAGGATAATAAAAGATGTAATAAACCAGAACTAGCTTAGCCCTAGAGCTAGGAAGGATTTACAAAGATTGTTTAATTGATTTTTCTTCTATTAAAATGCAGATCACACCGTCTGGGATTCAGAAACTCAGACACATGTCTTTGTGTCCACTCAGCTCCATGAAGTCCCCTGTCTGAAACTTGCACAATGCCCAACTCGCACGTGTTCAAAAGACATGCTGTTCCTTTTTGTCTGGGCCTCTCGGCACTGGGGCAGAGTTGGGAAAAGGCAAATCCCTCCCTCGCTGCTTGAAAGTTCGGTTTTCTGGGATTCCGAGGCAGAATCTGCCAATAAAAGCAGCTGAAGTTCAGTATTCTCAGACAACCTGTCACGAGAGTCCCCGGCAATATCCTCCATTCCTTCCCCTACTGCAAGCAACCGTGGCTTAAGGCTGAAGGAATTCCCTTAAAATCTTCTCTCGATGCAGATCACAGATTTGACTCGATCTTCTAAAGAGAAGAAAAGTCACCAACTCCATTATCTCCGCCACCCCGGAGACACGCTGGCCCCTGTATATAACCTCCCTTGTCCACAGAAGAAGTGGTTTGCCAGGGATAACTGCCCTCGTGCCAGCGAGAGGTGGGCAGGAGCAGCCGGCCCCACCACCTAATAGCGGGTGATAGTCGCTGCAGACGCACGCACACGTGCACACACTTTTCCTGACCTCGGGCTAGCAAACCCCATCTCCGAAGTACACGCAGCCCCAAAGAGCCCACGGTGCCGGAGGTTCAGTCCCCTTGTACCAGTCACAGCATTAGGCAGCTGGCTGGCCCCCCAGCAGTTGACTGGAACGGATTCTAGTTTGGGATTTAATTTACCAGCTTTCTACAGAATACGTTCAACCCTGAGCTCTGAGGGGGATGGAGGCTGGCTGGGAAGAAAAATACGCCTATTTTCCTGGGCAACTGTACGGAGACGTACCCCGACCTTAGCGCAGCTCTCGCAAGCGAACACTGAGGCAGGGCACTGCAGGGAAAGCAGGATTCCTCTGTTCACGGAAGCGCTGACAAAGCCCGACTTCTTGCTGGCATCTAGCGCGCGTCTTTTAAGACCATACAGCAAAGCACACGTATGACCACGCGCGCAGGCAGAGCACGACGGGCATAAGCTTCCTATGTAATGATTTGCTCAAGTAGTAACACCACTTTGTAAACGCTCCCCACGGGAACACTGAAGCCTACTCGCATTTCAGAGGTAAGCAGGGGTTAAGTGACATGCCCAAGGCCTTTACTCTGGGACATGACCTCATGAGTTGCACGCACTAAAAGCTATGCCCATCCACTACGCAGATCTCTGGCGAGGGAGGAAGGTCTCAGGTGTTTAAATCCCCGAAACCCCCTTCCCCCAATAGTCTGCACTTTTCAGGGGTAAGAAAGGGAAGCAACAGTTAAAAGGATGGTATTTGAGGAGTTATTCTGCAAATCCTTCGTTCTGCTTAACTACGGTTCTGCAGTGGGGCAAAACCCCACTTCCCCGGGGAGCGCTGGGTTTTGACAGACAAATCAAAGGCGCCGTTGGGTGATCATCGCGGCGCCTGGGGTCCACACGCCGCGGCCGATATCCTGGGAGCACGGTTTGGCAAAGGACATACCATACAGTCACAAACTCCAGGTTTGCAAGGGAGGGGGGATGACAGAAACACGCCAAGGGTTTGGGTGGTGTGGTTACCTGAACTGCAATCCAGCTGGCATTAACCGCGTGCTCTCCAAACGGACCAAACCCTGAAACAACAACAGGAACGACACAGTGAGGACACGACTCTCGCAGGCTCGGCCGGACTTCGAGGCACGACGCGGCTCGAACTGTCCTGTTTTAAACGCGTCTCGGGGAGGGGGTGGGGGGATTGCGTGCGCACGCGACAGCGTCCTCCTCCAGTCCCGAGTTCTGGATCACTTACATCCGAGTAACAGGTTGAAACTGTTCCATCTTCCAAAACGCGGGGCTGGCGGAAAGCACGCGCGCTACCTCCGGACTGGGCGCGGGCAACAGGTCGTCTCGGGCGCTGCTCTTCCCCGCGAGGAGCGTGTCCCTCCCCCACCCCCACCCCGGGATAGCTCTGGCTCCCGTTACAGAACAGCACCTCGTTACGGGACGTTTCTGTCCTCGAGGCTGGACCCCACCCCGCAAACGCAGCAGCCTGCCAGCCACCTCCCCGCCAAACCTGCCCCGCGATTCCCATCGCCCGGGTTAGCTTCACCAGGGAGGTGGAGAACGCGAGCGGTGAGGACAGTCCTGCAGAGCGGACTTGCCCCCTTCGCCTGCTTTCTAATGAATAACTCAGGGTTAACGAGTAACTCGTAACCCCCCGGGGCTGAGCCCGCACGCAAAGGTTAAGCAATTCATCTGCGTGCAAAGTTGCATCGATAGACTTTGATTTGAACTTTCAGGCAGCACACGTCGCCGTTAGCGTACGAGGATCTGGGGTACGAGGAGTTGTCCTGTAAGCTGCGTCCTGGCTGCCAGCATACGGCCACGGACGTTTTGAGTCCAGCCAAGCCCTCGCGTCGCCCCCGGCCGGCCCGCGCGCAGGCGACCCGGCTG